GGTGGTGGTGGTGGTGGTGGTGGTGGTGGTGGTGGTGGTGATGGTGGTGGTGATGGTGGTGGTGGTGATGGTGGTGGTGGTGACGGTGGTGGCGGCGATGGTGGTGGTGGTGGTGGTGGTGGGGTGATGGTGGGGTGGAGGGGGCAGACACGGAACACACGCGCCCTCGTGCGGTGAGATGAAACAAACATCCGCGCCCGGCCGACAGATCGCTAGACTCATTAATAGTAATATACTTATTACTTACGACGGAGGATGAAAGTGTTATGATAATAAGCTTTATTTATTCATGCATTCGTTAAATCATTCATTCATTCATTCATTCGTCCATTCATTCATTCATTCATTCAATCATTCAGCCACTCATTTATTCAGTCATTCACGCAGTCATTCACTCATTCATTCTTTCATTCACTTATTCATATTATTTTAACGTTCTTCGGATACTACCGACACGCGAATACTACTGCGAACTCGAGATACGATAGAGAGACGGACGGAGTGAGACAAGGGCGACAAAAACTACCACATATCAACTCGTCGGTCTTTCCCGCTGCCTTCTGACGTACAGTGGCCCGTTGTCAGAATCAAAACTAGTCTCAACATTAGTCTTAACACTATTCTTAAAATCCAAATATTTCTCGTTATAAACCGTCGACAGAAACATGGCAAAGTTACGAGTTTCTCATAAGCAGTATATATATATAGCGGTCCGATGTTACGACAAATATTAAGACTGATTCTGCCTCTGACAACGGGCCACAGTTACAGTCACTTGCGACGGATCTGTGCTCGCCTCCCCCCTCTCGCCATTCCCAGAGCCGTATATTCTCTATATACGGCTCTGGCCATTCCAACCCTCCGCATTTCTCCCTGTAAGCCGCTTAGCTCTAATACTTCGTTAGAGACTTCGTTACTGTCGATCGCCTAGGCGCGTGGGCGACGTCGTGGAGTAATCACGAGCCAGACAAGCACGCCACATGAAGACGTAATTCACCTTCTCGCTGACCCTCTAATGCCGAAATGACTTCCGCCACCAGAGGACGCGCAGCGAGCCGAGACATGTACACAGGAGATTGGGGGTGGGGGGTCGAAAAGGAATTTTCTAGGAAGAGGGGTGCGGGGTTGCGTGGAAAGAGCCGGTATATGTCGCCAGCCGAACCATGAGCTTAATGCTAACTAAAATAACCGACTGAGACTAGCAGACTGACTGACTGGGACTGATTAGACTGTCTGACGCAGCGACCGGATCGCAGCCGACCGTCGACGACCCGAGGGACGGCCGATCCGACCCGACCGTCGACCGACCGACGGCCGACCGACGACCGAACCGACCGACCGAACGACCCGACGACCGACGGCATGCCGAACGACCGACGGACCGACGACCGACCGAGCCGAGCCGGACGGACCGACCGACGACCGACCGACCGGGGACCGTCGAATGACGACCCGACGTCCGGTTCCGTCCGACCGACCGACTGCGACGAACGACCGACGACGAGCGATCGACGACGACCGACCGACTAGCGATCGAGCCGACCGACCGACGACCGGACGACCCGACCCGACGAGGCCGACGTCCGAATTGACCGCAGCGACGTCCGTCCGTCGACGACCCCGACGACCGACGTGCCGACCGTCCGACCGAGCGCCCGAGCCGACCGCACGACGACCGATCCGTCCCGTCCAACCGACCAAAACGATCCGTCCCGAACCGGACGACCGACCATCGAACCGAGACCGTCTCGAGCCGACGACGACGACCGACCGACGACGGACCGACCGACGGACGATCCCGACGACCGATGCCCGACCAGACCGAGCCGAACGACCGACCGACCAACAACGGTAAACAACAATCTAAACAATGTATGCGAGAGCTGGTAAACCATGCGGGCGCACCAGACGCGGTGCGATGACAAGATGATGAGTCATACTCACAAGAAGCGGGAGTTTGCAGGATCTTGAATCCGCCTTGCTGGTTGGGGAAACCACGTCTTCGGAAAATAATAAATGTGTCGACCGCTATGCCTGCAACGACAACGTGCTGCGCTGCCCGGCCAGGCGTGTGAGATAGACGAGAGAAAATGGCGTATATATACATCTCCTGTCCTCTAGATCTCTCTCCCCCTCTCTATCTCGCTCTCTCTCGCGTTTCTCGCGTCTCTTCTTCTATCCTCGATCTTTCTCTCTCTTTCGCTCACTCTTGCTCTCCCCCCTCTCTCCTCGCGTCCTCGCCGCTTCTCTATTCACTCTATCTTTCTCGCTCTCTCTCTCTCTCTCTCTCTCGCGTTCTAGCGCTCTCTCTATCACTCTATCTTTCTCTCTCTCTCACTCTTGCTCTCTCCCCCTCTCTCTCCATTTCGTTCACTCTCTCCCTCTCTTCCTCCCATTTCCCCCATACCTCTCCAAACAAACGCACACACGCGCACGCACGCACGCAAACACGAACGCACGCACGCACGCACACACACACACACACTATCTCTCCCTCTCTCATTCGCCCTCTTACACTAACTGTAATATAAACCGGGTGATTAGACGTGACTTGCATTTATTCTAGCTCGAGTTTCTCACGCATTTTCCGTTTCACAGCTTCCTGAATCAGGCGCCGAGCATGCGAGAAATTCATCATCATCATCGTCATCGTCATCACCATCGTCATTATCATCATCATCATCATCGTCGTCGTCATTACCATCGTCATCGTCATCACCTTCGTCATTATCATCATCATCATCATCGTCGTCGTCGTCATTACCATCGTCATCGTCATTATCATCATCATCATCAGCCGCAGCGGCAGCATCATCATCATCATCATCATCATCAACATCAGCAGCAGCAGCAGCAGCATCAGCATCAGCAGAAGCTAGCAGGTGCGGTACATACACATCTATACTAGCCGTCACCGACGCCGCTTGATTTGACTCACTCAGTACGCAGAGACTTGTGTATCAGACGATTGTGGAATGGGAAGGGAGGGGAGGGGGGTGATAAGGTTTGGGGCAGGAGGTTTGTTTTCACCGGCGTGTTTTGTTGGTTGTGCGTGTACAGCCTAACTAAAAAAGTTATGGACGATTGTCATAAATTTTCAGGATAGCGGTCAATAAAATCGCCTAACTTAGAAATTGATGAATTTTGGTGGTGATCCGGATCAATAAGTTAATAATTAATAAATTAATTAAATTTCAGGATAAGTGTCAGAAATGGGGTAACTTTAGAATTGATACATTTTGGTGGTTGATCCGGATCCCAAATAATTAATAATTAATAAAATTTTCAGATAGGTTAGGAAAGCCGCGTAACTAGAACTTGATTACATTTGGTGGTGATCGAATCCAATTAAATTTAATTAGATTAATTAATTAATTAAATTTTCCACAGTTGAGAGAAATTAGCTGCCTTGGCGGAGGGTCTGTGTCTCGATGCTGCTAGGTTCGTTATTATGCAAGCGAAATGGTAGTTATGATAACGCTCCGTCTCTTCGTCCTCTTCTCACATGAGACACTGCTCCATGAAGCCTCTCCACCGAGAAGGTGTTAGCGACAGCGGGAGACACACATATAGATAGGATAGATCGAATAATATCATATATATTACAAATTAAGTTATTAGGATAGATAGATATAATCGTATATATATATAGGGATATATTTAGTAGAGATAGGATATAGATGATTAGATAGATGGATGATGATGGATGGATGATGGATGGATGATGGATGGATGGATGGTGGATGGATGGATGGAGATAGGCATGGGATGGATGGCGATGGGATGGGTGGATGGATGGATGGATGGACATGGAATGGATGGATGAATCAAAATGGATGGATTGAACGAATGATGATGAATGAATGGATGGATGGAATAAATAGATAGAGTTAGATAGATAGCTATCATAGATAGATAGATAGATAGAAGATAGGATAGATAGATGAGAGAGAGAGATAGACAGATGGAGGAAATTGGATGGTATAAGATAAATAGATAGAGTAAATAGCGATGAAGAATACAGATAACACAGATTGGAACTAGATAGATAATAGATAGATTTTAGAGCGATAATAGATTAGATAGATAGATAGATAGATAGATAGATAGATAGATAGATAGATAGATAAATAGGGTGAGAGAGAAACAGAGACACACAGAGAATGGGAAGAGAAGAAAATGGAAAGGGGAGAAAGAGAATGGGAGAGAGCAACCTCGACAGAGCGAGAGATAGAGCGAGAGAGAGAGAGAGGGGGGAGATTGGGGAAGAGGGCGGAAGAGAGAGTGTGCGTCCGTCTCCGCAAATAGAAGGGATGTGCGTGCGTTTGGTGTGTGTGTTGCCAACGTGCGCGAGAAGTGCGAGAGTGTTTCATGAACTCATGCGTTTTTAACGGCAACGCACGTAACGAGTTTTCTGACAGCTAATAGATATCGTCATGAGGAGTGGTCACCGGCTAGGGAAGTTAGGGGAGAAGCGAGCGGGGAGAAGGTGGAGATAAAGGAGGGTAGAGGAGGGAAAGAGGATGAGGTGGGGGAGGAACCGAGGACGAGGTACTGAGAAAGAGGAATCCAAGCGGAATGCAACAAACATAAACCACCGTCCCCCACACATTTCTTCTTTCTCTCTCTCTCTCCTTCTGTCTCTCTCTCTCTCTCTCNTCTTTCTCTCTCGCTTCCCCCTCTCTGCGCTCGTCCTCCGCTCTCCGGTCCGCTATAATCCCTACTCACTCTCTCCCCTCGCACACTCTGTCCATTCTCCTCCTCCCATCTCTTCCCCCCTCTCACTCCGCACTCTCCCTCCTCCTTCCAGTGGTGGCATAGGATATTGTTCGAGACAAACTGACAATTATGTAGTCAGCGAGTGTTGTGTGCAGAAATATACGTTATTGAGAGTGTAAGATGAACGGTATCGATCAGCGGATTTATTTTCTCATATATACGGGCTCGCTGCCCGTTGCGCATATATATCAAGAGCAACTCTCGACAAGCATTTCGCTCGGAAGCATCCACTACTACTGATCAGCAGGCACCCATTGCCTGTTAATGCGTGTCACGCGCGCACGCACGCAAGCACACACGCAAGCACGCAGACACGCATTGGTGACAATTTTTTACGCTATTAGAGTACTTAGAATGGCAGCTAATTCCTCTTCGAAAAGAAACGCACAGGATACCGAATAGGCATATAGGATCCAGACCTAAGCCGAGTATATATATATACGCGTCACATAGATTTAAATAGATTTAACGCCTCCACATATATATACATATATGCAGGAGTTAATAATGACATTGTTATTATTTGTCATTATTAACTCCTGATATATAGAGGCGGTAATTTTTTTTTTGCGACGCGGCTAGTATAAGCTGTCGGTAGTGCAGACGACAATGAAGGCGCCGAGCGTGAATCGAGAGACGCTATTGAAAAATGGCACGTCTCCATAACAACGCCCCATGCCATCTCTCTCTCTCTCTCTCTCTCTCTCTCTCTCTCTCTCTCTCTCTCTCTCTCTCTC